CCCCGTCTCACTCTGACTCTCCTCTTCAAAGTTGTCATAGACTGCGAGAGTCCGCGTCAGGTTGGCCTCCACCACCTCATCCCTGTATAACAGCATGAGTGGGTGGGCGACAAGATCCTCCGCATCAGCTGCTTCTAGCTCTTGTCGCCTTGACTCCAGCCACCTCTCTCGACTCCGTCGCCTGCGTTGTGTGGCCTCCCTATCCAACGCCGCTCCTTGGAAGTCTAGGTCGATATACTCGCCTAGCAACCAATATGCTAATCGAACTGCCTGCATCAGCTTACGGCCATCTGTTCGCAACTCCAGTTGCGTCAGGTACCTGTCCAGCTGTGTCGAAGGCAGTTCCGAAGCCCACCGGGTTATCGCGTCGGTGGTATCCTCCATGACGCTCATGCGTAGGTGACGGTTGAGGTTAATTTCCCTATTCGACCACTACCGCCTCCTATCGCCCAAGGCGCGAGCGGGGTGTTGCGATTTTTATCGCCAACTACCCATTTACGCCTTTATTCACAAGGCAACAATACGCGTGGCTTGTGGGTGTGTGCAGGTATCGCGTACTCTAAGGAAGTACGAACTCCCGCTTCGCAACTACCGGCCTATAGGTGGAGGCTAACTGTTTGTTAGCTCCACCGGGTTAGTTAATCTAACCCTACACACACCCCAATTGCGCGCTCTGCTGGTACTGTCGCTCGGTGACTAACCCCCACTTAATTACTTTAATGTGTAATAAAACACTTAAAAAGTAAAAAGTTAACCCAAAATACAATTAGTCACCTTTTATATTTGAGTTAGAGCGACTCCGGACGTCTCTTAGACCCCTAGGGTTAGTGTGCTCTCGGCTCACAAAAGCAGTTGTTATTGGGTCGGAGAGGCGTCTTTCCCCTACCGCAGAGCACGTACCGAACGAGCCACGCGTTACTTTACCCGCTCGCACCTTATTACGCACGCGCGCAAACGTCTCTCTGTCGCGCGCGTTGCTCTCTCTTTTCGTGCAATTTCCCTCGTGTGTGAGTCTTAATTTAGTTGGGCGCCATGTAACAGGCTGCCATTTAGTCTAAAATCACGCAAACGTACCTTTAAATGTGACTAAACGACGCCTTGTTATCTATATGCTTAAAGCACAGTAACCTACCTTGCCTCGGAGTGCGCCTGCGCAGAGTCTCTTTGCTGTTCCGAGTTGGGTTCCCCCAACTCGCCACTTGGCGGCGCTGTCGCTCTTACTAGTAGCGCTCGTGCGTCCGCCGCTGGGACCGAAGTCGTCGATTCGCGTCTACCTGTATTCGCGCGGTTCGAGCTATGTAACCGGCGAATTCGAATCGAAATGTAAACACTGGCGCGACCTCCGGACAAAGGAGAAACACAATAACGGAAACTCGAAATAATGATAAATATTCACTTTATTACGCTAATTAATTTACACGGGAAATTGGCCGAGAGACTTACGCACGCACGCGTGAATGACAACACACGCTGATCGAGAGAGAGAGAAAAAACCGCGATTACCGCGAACTAACCGCTCGCGCGCAACAATTAATTACCTCGCGCACGCTGCGCGGGATCGCTCGCTATAACAATAATTGAAAGGGGGAAGGTGCACCTACCGCAAGGACGATGAGGATACGGTGGCCAACCGTATTCGAACGACAAATTGCTGGAACGCCGCTTCGCTGCTCGCTACACCGCCTCAATTACTGTTGCCGCTGCTGCTGCTGCTGCTAGCACTCACCCATGCAAGTCGCAATGTCAATGGCAAACAAAAACAACACTCGAACGGCTCGGGAAAATGGAGGTTAGGCGCACGAACTGACTGAGTGGCACAGTCATACTACTGGTCGCTGCCTCCCCTCCCGGTCATTGCCCCTACGCTCTCTCTCTCTCGCGAACCGAGCGCGGCTACTCTCGTTTAGCCGCTCATCAACCTCGCGCGAGTCCTACGATTTTCGGCAATCGTTGCATTGTATAGCTATTTGTTATTCCTTTTTTCCGCGAAGCAGTATCATCCACAATATTAACATCACCAACCTCATTAACATGTGATTTATTGCGTAAAAAATACTCGACATTTTTTATTGTCAAAATAATATCTTTTTTTGTAAACTCAGATGTAATAAAATTAGGGCACATCGATACAACATCCATTACTTCAGTAGGTAGCACAATATTAGTAAGATTTTTAAGCCATTTTTCACGATGTTCAACATTACGAATAGAATATTTCTTAACGTTGCCTTTTCATAAAAGATTTTTTAACTTATGTAACCATAGTTTAAGATATTATTCATTGTATACCATTAATTAATCATAAGCTGGACAATATTATAAAACTGGGTAAAGATGTTACAGATAAGTGGAATGAGACAAATATAGTATACAAATTTTGTTGTGATAGTTGCCCGTCTGTATATATTGGTCAAACTAAGAGAAGTTTAAAAAAACGCATAGATGAACATAGTAAGACACCTTTAGACAAGTCTCTTCCTGTTCCTATGCATTTGAAAAATTATCCTACACATTCGTTTGACTGGGACAACACAATGATTTTAGATAGAGAGTCTAATTATTGTAAGAGATTAATTACGGAAATGATATATATTAATTTGTCTTATAACACTATAAATAGACAAGCGGACACTGGTTTATTGAGTAAACAATATAAAGGTTTATTTGATGTTTTAGCTGACTGATCTCACATTTATTTATAATATTTTTTAAAATTTTGTTTTGATGTATTATGATGCTTAATGTACCGGTTTTCTTGGCATAGGAGAGGGGATACATTTGATTGTGTGTCTACCTGTGATTTGTTTTGGTATAAAAGGTAGCAGACACTGTTTGATTTGCATTATTTCATAGTCGTTGTCTGATTTGAATTTTGAGTATTTGAACGAATGTTAAGTTATAAGATGAGTTTATTTTTGACTTTATTGTGATATTTGATTGGATTGTGACTTGCGAATTGAGGTAAATGTTTTGTTAGCGTGATTTTTATTTGTTTGTGTTTATATCTGTAACTATTTTCTCATTTTGTTTTTTAATGAAGATCTGATGAGGTTGGATATTTACCAACGAAACACACGTGTGTAACCACCTGAGATGATTGTTTAATTTTTTTACAACAGGTTGGCTCTAAAATTGGATTAAAAAAATTTTTTTGATCAAATAAAATAATAATTTACTGTCAGTAAGGTATAAATACGTCATGTCTAGTAAAGTAAAACTGAGTAAACACGTTTTGTATATAAAATCACTCGTGCTATATAAGAATAGAAAGAGAAAGACTGAGAGATCCAACAAGCGAGATAGAATAGATATGAAGAGTAGGGGAAACATAGGAAAGGAGAGGGAGTTACGGATGTATTATTATATCCATGTTTACTTTATAATACTGCCACTAAATAGATTTTATGATGTTAAATATTCTCGAATATTGGTTGCTTAGATATTTTGTATCTTCCTGTGAATTAATGGTATTATCAGTAATTTTAATATGTACCGCTTCTGCGATGCATCTTTTTTTGTAATTAGCTTCTACATGCATGATTTTTGTATTGTCCCAATCAAATTCATGTTTCGGATTATTCATGATATGAGCTGGTATAGGTAAAAGTCTAAATCTAGAGTTATCTGGGTCTTCAATTGTTTTTTTTATAGAATATTTATGTTCATTAATTCTAGTTTTAAGAGCCCTTTTGCTTTCACCGATGTAGTTAGATGTACATTGTTTACATTGAACATTATAAACTATACCTGTTTTTTCCCATTTTTTTAATTTATCTTTGCCTAGAGCAATAATATTAGATAACTTGTTAGTCATTTTTGGTATGCAAACAAAGTTCCTCTTCTTTAGTGCTGATTTACATTTATAGAAAAATTCTTTTTTAAATGGAATTGGAAGGTATATTGTCGGTTTTTCGTTATTGTTTTCATTCTGTGTAATGTTATGACTGTATGTATATTTTCTAATGCGATCTCTAATGCACGAATTAACAAATTCTTCAAGATAGTCATTATTAAATAACATGTTTTTTACAATAGATATATTACTGTCATGGTGACCTTCATCGGATAACAATATCGATCTATCTACCAAGTTATTAACAACGTTCTTGTTTTGTTTTAATGTGTGGTTTGAGTTATAATTTAAAATACGTCCCGACATCGTTGGTTTTTGGTACCAGTTAGTAATAATTCCATTTTTTCTTCTAGTAAGCGATAAGTCTAGAAAATTAATAGAACCATTAACCTCTGTCTCATAGGTAAATTTTAAATGTGAATTATAATCACTAACTGTTTCGAAAATATGATCAAAATCAATGTTCCTAATGCACATTAATTTGTCATCCACATATCTGTAATAAAAAATTGGATTAATATTAAATTCTTCCTTCAGAAAAAGCAAGCATTGTGTCTACAAATCATCCATGACTAAATCTGCAAATATTACTGATAAAGGGTCTCCCATCGAAATACCAAATATCTGTTTATAATTAGTATTATTAAAACTAAAATATGCATTGTTGAATAAGAATGTTCAAATGATATTGTTTCTTTACTAAGCCATTTTTTCAAAAAAAAAAGCTGAACAAAATGGAGAGTGCTAATAATAACATAACTATTTTATTTGATGTTGTACTTTTACAATTGACGTTATATGTTTGGAAGAAATGTTTAATTCAATCTACATTACAATATAAAGCATGTTACAAAGAGTATGTTTACATTTATTTTATTACTATGTTTAACATTGAAATAATTCACTTTATGTCAACAATATATTTAACAGATGTATACTGAGGTGGCAATAAATGAATAAAATTGCGAAACGTCTATAAGAAAACAAGAGTTCTAGTTATTTATAGGGATAACTCCTATGATCAAGAAATTAAAATAAAATTATTAAATATCAGGAGTGAAAACATAAAAAATATTTAATATCATTTGAAGTTTCTAAAAGAATTTTTATTCATTACTGATGAAGGATTAGGAAACAAATAACAAAATTAAATTTGTTTCCTAAAACTTGTAGACATGAATGTATATATGATTGGATTTAAAGCAGAATTAAGATAGCACATTATTCTTGAAAAGTACAATAATGAATAATATCCATCAATACTAAATCGTATTATTTCGGATAAAGGACTAAAAATAATCCATAACATCATTGCTCGGAAGGGCAATACGCAAATGAAAAATATTAAAATAATAATGCACAACATTCGTATTATTCGCTTATGATCACGTTGAGATGTGCGATTGATATCGCTTTTTACATATAACCTATGAGAAAGTTTGTAGATCATTACTGTGTATGAACTGACCAATATTATTACTGGAACAATGAAAAAAAGAACAGTAGAACTTGAAATGTAGAGTATATTCCACAAAGTATTCACTGTCGTTAGGCAAACTGGTACAATAGTTCCGTTTTTTTTGTGCTCCATGTGAAATGATGCCATAAATATAAAAGGGCTGGAAAAATATTCAAAATTAAATGAAATTCAATAAGCAAAACATCGATAAAATTTAAGACTTATTAAGAAAAAATTTGAAATTGTACATAGACTATAATAGACACGCAATGTGTGTTCTGGGACAAGGAGATGAAAAAGGATGCCGCCAATGTATAAGGGATATGTGTATGTTCTGGGACACAAAGAGGCCGCCCGATGAAGGTGTTGAGTTTTCGCGATAATTTGACACCTGTTTGTCTGCCAGTGGGCCTTTCGACAGACTCCCCCCCCCCCCCCCGCCACCCACCTACAAAGTTTATTAAGGTAGAATGCTGTAGAAGTTGGTAAGGTGTTTGGGAAGCTATATGATGGTCCTCTCTCTATCCCTCTCTCTCGCTCTCCTTCGGCAGTAAGGTGCTCAGTAAACATATGCTGGCTAGGTGTAAGTCCTAGCGTATGTAGCTTCTTGCTAGGAGCGTGCGCCGTATAGCCCTTGGAGAGGGGGTAGCGTGCTAGGCGCATACGCTGTATAGTGTGGATTCTCTCTCTCTCTCTCTCTCTCTCTTTTTGTCTCTCTCTCGCTTTCCTTCGATAGTAAGACGTGTTGGCCCTTGGAAAGAGGGTAGCATATAGCTTGGTAAGCTATATGCTGCTCTCTCTGTCTCTCTGTCTCTCTCTCTAAGCAATCGTTATAATAGTTTAATTAGATTTCGGGAACCTTTCGACCTCACAGTTAATTTTATTTGAATCTTAATTAATAAAACTTATAGAATTTTCGTTTATTTATTAATTTATTGTTCAACTATACATTGTATATAATACAGTCTGTATATAATTTCTATTTTCAGTAGTTGACATCGCTATATCGAAATATTGAGTTGAATTTTTATATATAGTACTGTCAACTTCATCGTTACCTTCCACTTTAGATTGCTTCCGTCTATCTTTTCCATAAAAACAATTTTTGTGGATTTGTAACGGCACATACAAAGTTAGCTGGTTTATTGTAATGACATGTGCACATTGTTTCTAATGGAAAAAGGTAATACTCTCAATGGTGGACATCTCATGTCGCTTTCAAGTTCTAAAATTTTTCTATAAAAAGAAAAAAGTTTCTAATTAATAATGATTTTGATTTCTAACAAAAAATAAAAATAATTTTTATACTTACTTTTCGGGTAATATTTTTTGTAACCATTGTTTCTGTTTTAATCCTTTTACATAAATATTTCTTGAATTATCTCAATGATTATTTAGTACACATACTAAATTTTTATATGGAATAATGCCGGATCTTCATAATAAACCATGATGACACATTTCTAAGAATTTATTCACTTGTTGACACTTGAAAGGAAGTTGAAACCGAGGATATCGTGGTTTAAAGAAGAGCACAGTTGGAACAGTATCCATATCTAAAGGTAAATAGGTGAGTTCTTTACATCAAAAGACTCGTGTGAACCTTGAAAGCCTTGAAAATCTAATACGAAATCCATTTGAAAAGATGCAGAAATTAACGTGAACTCTACGAGATCCCTAAAGACCATTATGAGCGTAGAGGCACGTGTTTGTTCCATATAAAGCCCATACCTCACCATTCGAAAGTAGAGGACGTCATAGTCACCATACCTCTACACTCGAAAGTAGAGAGCATCATATCACTACGAGGGTGGTCCGATAAGTACTTAGCCTACAAAAGAAAAACGAAAATTTTGGAAAAGTGGCGTTTTATTTTTCAACATAGTCTCCTTTTAGTTCGATACACTTGGCACAGCGATGCTCCAACTTCTTTAACCCGTCTGAAAAATATGTTTCCTCAAGGTCTGAAAAGTAGGCTTCCGTGGCAGCGATTACCTCCTCATTCGACTCAAATTGAAAAGCATTGTAAACATTGATTACATAATGTCTTGTTAATTTTAAACTAATTTTTTAACATCACCACTAGTTCGATTATATTGAACAATACGATCGTGTAATATTAAGCAGTAGGCTGCAGTATCTTTAGGAAAATCAGTCCGAGTTTCAAATTCTAGAAAACATCGTCTGGTGTGCTTTTTAATGTTTCATTTTTTTTGGAGCAATCGATAACTATTAGCCGCACTTTATTAATGAAATCTGTTTTATTGAGTAACGGCTCGTTTTCTTTATTATAGTAAGCGTTTTGAAAAATAGAATACATATCGTAGAGAATAGAATACTGATTTTGATTAATATTTAAATTGAGATTCCATACGGATAGCTTTGTGAATTGAGGAACAGCTTCACATTATTAATATTACAATGATCAAAATTACTAGAATTATAACTCGCTGAACTTTTATGTTTAGTTTGGAAAGCTAAAATAACAAAGTGAAGCTTTTCCAATTAATTGGAAATCTTAACACTCCAAACATGCTTTGATGTACGAGGTAATTTTGGATACTCATACATTTTCCAAGTACCATAACTCATTGTAATTGCACGATCACGTCCAATCTGAATGAGTAATTTAATTTTGTCTTGTGTCTGCAACCATCACATATGGCATCAACCATTCAACCTTAGTTAAAGTAATTTTTGATTTTTCTGAAGCAGGAGAATTCCCTACTGGAGTACTTATAATAGCATTCAAATCATCTCTTGATCTTGTGAGAATAAGTTCATACTTGAATTGACTACAACTGAAAGGGATAGTCACATCAAAATAAGCTAGAGCATTACTTATCAAAACTTCATTATTATCACCATTCCATCCAACATTTTCAGCGATAAAGCTCTGACATGGATTGAGTAAAAGCTAATTTTTCATGAGACTCGTTAAGCCTACATTTTTCCCTTTATCAATTTCAATAGCATTTATTTCATATCGTATTGCCTCTAACAAATGACAGAGAGCGTTGTTGACTAATAAAGTGTTCTCCACTGGCATAGTACCGTCTGGCTTGGTCAACCGACCACAAATATGAATCATACTGCGTGATGGAAGCAGAGATAAATTTTGATGTTGAATTGCTATATGGATTTCATCGCTATTTTTGAAATATGATAATGAATAAGGCTGATGTGCATGAACTTCATAATGAGCTATAGATTCATCGAAAGCGACAACTGAATGAATGTCTAGAAATTCCTCCATATTGTTGTTGTTGTTTTATACAGCACCCTAATATGCACAATATTTTCTTCCACAATTTCCGACGACTTTTAGTCTCAAGCTTTTCAGGAATTGAATGTTCTGAAGTGTGAGCAATCTGATAGCTTGCTGTTGACTGGCCACTGACTGACATTTTTGTCTTTTAATATAGCTTGGAACGGTCTTTATATTGTAAATGATACCCATTACTAAAATATGGTTTTTGTATGTACTCGCACTGTGATGACTTCTCCTCGAAGGTTAACTAGGTTTCCCTCTTGATCAACTATACGAATTTGAAAATGTTCAATGCTCCTCACAGCGACTAAAAGGTAAATGACGTGAGAGGGAACTTCTATAATCTTTTATCCAGGTGGGACTGCTGGAAAAAATTAATGTATAGTATGTACTTTGCGATTGCTTATGTAAGAGCCTGTAGTAATATTACACTCTACAAGTAAAGCTTTGACTTTGAGAATAGTGATGAGTAAGTCATAACTATGTGTTTTGTTTTCAACGAGCGAGCGTCTAGTGAAGCATAAAATTGATTCAATAGAATCTTCTAGTTCAAAACGTATTTTTTGACTGCACTGAATGACACTACGTTCGTATAGTATTATTATTTGGTTTCAGGCTAAACGATATACATTTAGGTGCTAATGTTTCTTTGAAAAAACTTTCAATATCTTCTATTTCGTAGCTACCAGTCGGTAAAGTGATAGCTTTTTGACCTTCAATGCAAAATTTATTATAAACAACGTCAATGTTTGGTATTGAATTAAATATTAATAGATCAACTAGACCATGAACGTATGTTTTGTTTGATATCAATTCGATCGGTGGAAAATAATATGTTTGGAGTATGGCTGATGTTATCGAGGAACTCAATGTCAGTGTATTCTCCATGACAGATTCATGTCAAATGATTTTATATACTACACGTCTTTTCTATAGTTTATTTTGAAGAAATTTGAGACAAAGATGACTGCAATTATATGTATTAAAATCTTGACATCTAATATAATTATACATGATTCTATTAACTTTGAGATAAAGCAATCGATCTATAGGCAGCTGTAGATTTCCAAAACTATCAAACTAAATAACCTCATCACTTTTTTTTTATATGCTACCCAAAGAGTACCTGGTCCACTTTTATCATCTAAATTTACAATAGCTGTCTCTTTATATCGCGGTTCATCGACTGGTACAGCATCACGCATGAAAACACCTCGAAAATTTGTAATTTTTAGTATTTTAACATATTTTCTTATATCATGATCTGTCAGTACTCGATTAAGTAAAGTTACTTCTTGCTTTTTTTTAAAACCTTTTCCACTTGAATATGGTTTCAGATAAAGACCATAACCTTTACGATGTGGTTTCAAATAAAGTCCTTTACCAATGGTAAAAGTTTCCATAGTCTTATTGTGTCTGTGAGCTTCTTTCAATTAATTTTGAGCGGCCTTAGCACTGTTAACGGCTTTTGCTATCGAAGCAGGTCCTCCAGCTAGAGCTCCAGTGGCGCTCAAAGCAGAAAATAATGGAATTAAAAAAGGAAGAGCTCTACCCACTTTACTAGGAATTGGTAGAATACGAGGCATGTTTATTTTTCTTCTTCCTCCAGCCTTCTTCACAGCTTATTTAGCGCTTTTTATAGCCAAACAAATGACGAAGTGTGATTTATTACTAGGTACAACACTTCTCGAAGGATCGTTAATAATTTTTTTCAATGCAATTGATAGATTTTTACTTTTTACATGTGTCTTTTGTCACTGTCGTTGTTGTTGATGAGTTTTTAATCCCTTGCCTCGTTTCTTTCTTGTTTGAAGATTTGAAAAACCATACCAAGTTTACTTGTAACTTTCATTATGTTGGCTACAGCAAACGTAACAACTTTCTCACCAAAACTACTATTTTTCGCTTGAACTCTATAGCTCGACCTGTTTAGCTAGAATTTCTCGCATGAATGTTCTCTCGATTCTGAGAATAAGCAATATCGTGTTCTTTACAAGCAGCGCCTAGCGGATATTTTCCAGGATCACCACCAGCAAGTCGTGTTTTCAGTTTAGTTCCCGGCCCGTATTACTGATAACCAGACAAATGAGCTTCGAATGGTAAGTTATTAATGATCTTATTCACTAAGCCAGCACCACCAGTCTTTCTTTTATGACAAACGATCATACCCTATCAGAAGACAAAGTCTTAAGTAAAGTAAAAATATACAAACAGTTTTTTTATAGTTAGTAGTCTCATTCATCGTTTGATCGATAACTAGAAAACAATATGGACTTCAAAGAGCAACCACTTAAGTTGCAAGTCATAAATTTTGATAGTGTGATTTAGACGGAAAAACGAGAAAAAAGATATGGTGAACTACTACGTGATAGTATACGAGCAGTTTTCTGTGGTCCTAGTAACTGTGGGAAAACTAACTGTTTGCTAACACTAATCACACATCCTAATGGACTTAGATTCGAAAACATTTATGTTTAATCAAAGTCCCTCTATCAACCAAAGCATAAATTTTTAAAAGATTTATTGGAACCGATTGATGTTATACAGTATCATGCATTCAGCGAGCATGAGGCAGTTGTTTCACCGGATAAAGCTCATCCAAGTTCCATTATGATTTTTGACGATATAGCCACTGAAAAGCAGGACAGCGTGAGAGCATTCTTCTTTATGGGAAGTCATGAAAAAGTAGATAGTTTCTATTTCTGTCAATCATACAATCGTATACCGAAGCATCTCATTCGAGATAATGTGAATTTACTAGTTTTGTTTCGATAAAATGACGTGAATATTGAACATATTTACAACGATGATGCTAACTCTGATGTGACTTTTCAGAAGTTGAAAGCAATTTGTTCAAAGTGTTGCAGAGACGATAATCATGGATTTATAGTTATTGATAGAGATAGACCAATCAATCATGGACGGTATAGAAAAGGATTCGATTCTTTTGCTATAAATATAACGGAGTGAACGAATGAAGATTATTTAACTTTAGAAATTGCAAGCGTCAACATGGCTACTTTTGAATAAAAAAAGAAGGTGCTCTAGCAATTATCTGAGGTTCGTGATGCCATCAGACGTAAATAAGACGTGACAAAGCTAATTTAGAAAATACGTTGAATGAAACTTTTAAACCTATGGTTGACCCATTAAGAAACTTTCGGAGGTAGCTATTGATAAAGCTGACGTTAATACTGAACAGTAAACGAAAAAGTAGAAGAAAAGTACGGTTGATAAAGTTTTCAAGTCAAAAACAACAGCTGACACTCTTTCAATTGAGACCTTGACAGCTGACAATAAATCTTGATATTTCAATAGTACTGTTAATGACTTAAATTCTATATTACACCCGCTTGATTCTACATTTGAATCTGCTATATCTATTGCTGCTGATGATGATGATGATGCTGATGAAGACGAATTTAATAAGACTAGTGAATCATCACTTGATTCAACTGCAATAAATTTAGACAAAGTTAGTTGAAATGTAACTACAGAACAGAGACAAAGCTATTGGATGATTCGATTGTAAGAATCTATATTCAACTATTGCATAAACCTCAGCAGAGAAGTAATTTAGACAAGACATTCGGCGTTCGCTTGTACGAAAATACTTATGTCATAGGCAATTCTCCAATTTCTTGCCAAAACGATAATGTAACTGTGAATGATAAAGCATTCAGCAAGACGCCTAGTTTTATGAAACTTCTCTTTCGTAAAGACTCTAATTCTAAATTAATCAGTTCATGGATATTGAAAATTATATAAAAATTCTTGAAATCACGACGCTCATTGTAAGAGATACGAAACAAATGTACAATATTGCAATAAGCATGTGAATAAAGTCAAAAAGTATATTGATCCAAATTTATCTTTGAGCGGTAGTGCTAAAAAGCGAAAATTGACTATTGATGGAAGAGGTCTTTTTCCTAACTATAAAATAGGTAGAAAAGAAACATTATTTGATTATGTATATTGGGATGATCCAAACGTTGATCAACTGAGATTACTTATCGTCGAAGAATCCGCCGGTAATTCTAGTCATGTTAATGAAATTCATTCAATCATTGAAGAATTACGTGGAGCTGGTTATATTATATTAAGAGAATCTTAAATATTCCTCAGTAATAAAATGCGTGTTGATGTGTTTGGACGGGTATTGAATAAAAAGGTAATCGAGATCCTCCTGGTGTAGGGTATAAAATCACTAAAGACGAACAGTACGACGTGGATAACAAAAGAATTTGTAATATAGCTGATCCTCAGAAGAGTAATGATGCTGTAAACTTACGAACGTTGCAAAAAACTAGTGAAGCTTACGTTACTACACTTACGACTACGATAAATAATCCTAGAAAATCTTTAAATACAATAAGAATAGAATTACGAACATATCGAGAAGCGTTTCAATATTTACAAGCAAATAATAATAATAATAATGATAATAATAATAAGAGAAAGAAATAAATATTATACCGTTTGACTTTTTAAATCAACTAGAACACCTTAACGACATCATTCATCATATATAAAATAGAAGTGCCTCAAATTCTCCTTTTTTCTTATTTATATATTGGAATCATTTCTAAATTTTTCATAAATTTTATATCTCGCCAAAAAGTATTGTCATTGATACAATTCTGTATATACGTAATTTTTAACTAATGAAGTTTGCCTTTGATTTCCTAGATAAATTTTTAATGAATCCCATGATCGCACTCTAGACATAGCTACATAAAGTTGACCGTGATTGAAAACATCTCTTCGAAGATCGATACCGATTTTATTTAAAGTTTGGCCCTGCGATTTATTAATAGTTATAGCAAAAGCCAATTGAATTGGAAATTGTCGTCTTTTAAACGTGAATGGATAATGATTTTCACAATATAATGTAATTCGATTGCCAAATTAAATTGCCAAAAATGTTTTGAACAATACATTCATTTTCAGATAATATGCAGTATTGTGGAATCTGTAAATTATTACTTTGATGATTTAATGTTCCATTACCAACATGTAACAAATAGTTAGCAAATTCAAGTTCATTTTGTAAAACTCGCATGTTTGATTTTAAATGAAATTTTTCAAATAGTGGCAATAAGTGACTATTTTTCAAAGATAAATTAAATATTTCATTACGTGTTCCATTAACTGAAATGGGAAGAAGCTGTCTAAAATCACCACCTAGAACCATTATTTTGCCACCAAATGGCAGATCATTATTCATAATATATTTGAAACTTCTATTTACGATTTCTAAACCACATCTTGGGGCCATTGGTGCTTCATTCCAAATGAACACTTTAGTATTTTTTAAAAGCATGCCTTCATCAGATTGTATTTTAATATTTGAAGATGAATTATTAAACGTAGGAACTGGCAAGCCAAAAGTTTTATGTACAGTTCTTCCATTAGGTAGCAATGTAGTAGCAATACCTGTAAAAGCCATTGTGGAACATTTCATGTTCTCTGACATTAAAAGATTGTAAATTGTGGTGTAAACGAATGTTTTACCAGATCCACCTTGTCCGTCTATATAGGAACAAGTTGAACCAGTATAATCATTAGATCGTGATGTTTCAAGAATTTTATCAACTATTACTTTTTTTTCAGCATTTAGTTTTTCATATTGTTGATTACCCATTTCTATACAATGATTACCGTCGTCGTTACCATTGTTATTATTATTTAAGTGCACTGCGAGATTTTGATCCATCGTTGGAAAGTCCGCTAAACTTTTTCCTTCCTTCATGAAAATATTATTTATTTCAGCATAAGCTATTTGGTAGCTGATATGTAATTTGTTATTGCGTGAAAAATTTTCAGATATTGAACCTTTATACGTTTCCTATAGATTTTCAGGGTAAATAGGTTGACAATGAATCAATATACGAACAAATAAATGACTTAGACGGGTAGGCATTATTCAAGTCACTGCTTTTCTCATAGCTCTGCTCCATTCCTCGTCGTCTTCAATAATTCCTAACGTTAAACAGGCAGCTGTAAATGAAGGAGGTATTACTTTGTCCACAGTTTTTAAATCATTGTAATTTGTGGCTCCTTTCACATGCAGTAATAATAGTCTTAAATGAAATAATTCTACTTGAGCAGGACTTACAGAGTAAATACGACCTATGCAATGTAACGGGGTAAAACCGTTTAATTATTTTTATGCGCGCGAATACACTAAAAGGGCGCGCGCAGTTAATTATGCTCAGTACGTAAATCGGAGAGCATGCAAAGACAGGTGCCAGTCAACCAGTAAGTTCTCTTATCGAAGGAAAGTGAGTGGAAGCTATGAGATATAAGAGAATCAAAAGAAAACACTTGTTAGTAATATGAACTAGATCTTTTATTATTCCTTATAATCTACAGAAGGTCGGCCCGCGCGTTTGTTTACGTTGACGCTCGCTCGTCGGCAACACGTATTGCCGGGACGCTCGCTGCTCTTTGTTGTTAGAGCCGTTACATGCACGCATCGAATATTAGAACTTGATTATTAATCACGCCACCGCGATCGCGAAATTAAGCTGGCCAGCTTACCTTATATTTGCAGGCGATCGGAGAAGACAGGGACGAACCACACAGCGCGGAACAGTTTTTATTGTTTTTGCTCGCGGGTCGCGAATGCGCGCACACACTGGTTTCGCCCTCGATGGCGAAACCCCACACACTCTCTCCCGTCCTGGCCTCGAGCTGGCGAATCTCCGGCACCTCGGTGGCAGCTGTCACGGGTATCTGGCACTGGTCGAACGTCGCTGATCTGGCGTGTAGTCGTCAAGGGCACGTGGATCGGTAGCGGCGGTAGCGAAAGCGGGTGGACACGACAATGGTCAATGCTTTACTGGTTCGAATTCAATCGCGCGCGTTCCGTCTGCTCGCGTGCCGAATTCCTTAGTTACGAATTTCGTCCCCCCGGCAGGTGCTGCCCTCACAGGCAGCAATTAAGCTAAATAATCAGCGCTAATTTGACGTTTACCGTCACAGCCCCCTTCCAGTCTGGGCCTACAGGGTCCTCGACGATAATTCCATTAGCGCTGCCCCTTCCGAGGAGGAGAATGGAAAGGATAATAAAGGGTTATAGTCCAAGTGATGTTAAATTTGTACTTTATTGTACAGCAGGGCGATATATCGGTGGCCCTGCCCACGGGGGTAGGGAATCATCACCTAGGTGGTCTCGGTGGCAGTTCCTGACCTTGGTCGTCCAACGGGGGTCGGCCGCGCGCCTCCCACCCCAGCCTCTCTTGGACCAGGTCGGCGTGTTGTCGCACGCGTGGGCAGCGGTCCGTGCGGGTCACCCCGGGGTAGTGGCACACGTTGCACCCTTCCCACTGAGCGCGGGAAAGGGTGCCCCGTGGGAGACCTCGCTCTCTGGGGGTCAGAGGCAACCCGTTTCTACGGTTCGGGGCGGACCACAACGGTCTTTCAACCGTTGGGTCCTCACCCGCGGGGCCTAAAACCACATTGATGTGGATAGGCCCCGTTGCTTGACCGCCCTGGCTCCCGTCCACATTCACCGCCAGGTTTACCCCGCACGTTTGCGGGCCTTGGTGCGACGTGATCCCCGACCTGGATTCCGGAGCCGTTGTCCTGGCTCCGGCGATCGGAAGCTGAGGGAGGCTCGTGTGACTGCTACTCGCCGGGTCCTCAATGGCCTGGCGGTGGCGCTGCTGGACCTCCCTAAGCGCCGACGCGAACTGGCGACGGCGGGACACCACATTCTCCCAATGATCCGGGTCATCTGAGTGGTGCACCGCGGCTGTGTACGCCGAGTACGACGCGTACACAGCCCGTTGGAGGGCGTTGAGGGTTGTCCAGCCTCGCTCGACCTCCCTCAACCCCTCAACTATCTAGGTCCTTTTGCCAGACGGGGGCGTCTGGCTAGGGAACCTGGGGCGCCAGGTCGCGTCGGGGGCACCCTCTTCTGTTTGGGTGCCCATGGATGCCGTCGGGGCCTTCATGGGGATAGGTCCCGCTGGGGGTCTCGACGGTGGCGCGGCGTCGTTGCGCGTGACGCCGGGTGTTGTCGTCGGCGTGGTGGTGGTCTCCTCCGCCGGGAGCTCTTCTATGAGCACGGAGGACGAGCTCTCGTGAGCTCGCACCCGTGCTCGCTCCTCCTCTTCCTTCTTGGCTCCTATAAGGTGCAGGGCGGCATGCACCACCCCTTCAACGGTTGGACCCAAGTCCAAGCCGATGAGGGCGGCTGCCGCTTGCTCGAACTGTTCGAGTGTGATCTGCATCCTGTAATAACCCAGCATGTTAGTATCCTGAATATCATTGGATATCGAAGGTGGGCGCCTGTTCGGCTGCCCAGGACCTTCGTCGCCGGATTCGAAGGTGGGGTCCTTGGCGTCGGTCTCCCAGATCCTTCGTTCGCCGTGTATCATGCATTTACGGTTGGCGCTTTCGGTGGTCTGCCCCTCTTCCTATTCCCGATGATGGGAGGAGGGGCTCGTATTGTGTGTCGATGTTGTGTGATCCGTGTGGTTAGCGTGCACTTACGAGGTCTCCCTCGTGGGCGTTTCGCTGTATTAGTAGGAGAGGTATTTAGTGGGACTCGGCTGGGGGGATTACGGCGAGTACGGTGAGGTGATTTCGGAGTTATCGCGTCGTCATTTCGGATTGTATTATCTGTAACGTCGGCGCTTCCATTTCCTTGTATCGGTGTATCGCTCGCGTTGGGCGGGACGCTTATCGCCTCGGTTCCTTCGGTGGTAGAGGTCTCGTCGTCATCTCGTGGTCGGGTCCCATTTTCCGGTATATCGTCGTCTCGTCCATAATGGGGTTTGAGGTCCTTAGCGTGTATTAGCTCCGTGACCTCCTCCTGTTGGTTGGCGAGGCGATATGAGTTGGCACCGAGTACCTTCGTGACGATAAAGGGGCCTATGAATTTGGGAGCTAGTTTCGCGAAAACGCCCTGCGCCGCGCAGGACAGTACGCGATATATTTCCACACCCAATCACCTTCTTTAAATCTGCGGTCCCTGTGTTTGGCGTTGTAGTACTTGGATTGCCTCAGAGACTCATCCGAGGCGCTCTCGTGAGCTTGCTGAATGGCGGAACGGCTATTCTGCATGTGCTCGTTCCATTGCCCGATTCGGAGCAAACTCTCCTCTTGTGCGGCGAGTTCGTCCATCCGTTTCCGGAGAGTATTCGGGGCTCCCGGTTGTCTGCCATAATTGAGCATGGCCGGACTAACCCCGATGGAACTGTGGACGGCCGTATTCAACGCGAACATAATTTCGGGTAGCGCTAGGTCCCATTCCCTATGATTCCCCTGCAGATACGACGTTATCATCGTCTTCAAGGTACGGTTAACTCTTTCCGTAGGGTTAGCCTGCGGGGTATAGGTTGGGGTGAAGGTCCGTTTTATCCCCTGATCTCTCAGGTACCCGTCCACCAACTGATTGCGGAACTCGGTGCCGTTGTCGAACAAGAAGATCTTTGGCGTGCCGAAACGTAGGATTATTCGTTCCCGAAGTTCCTTCACTATCGTCTTGCCGTTAGCACTACGTATGGGTATACATTCGACCCATCGTGTGAATACGTCGATGAATACCAGGACGTATTCGTGCCCTCGTGGGCTCTTCGGAAAGGGTCCGGCGATGTCGCCCGCGACCACTTGCCAAGGCATAGACCATGTTCGTTCTTGCATGAGCCCGCGCGGCGGTCGCTGCTCGACCTTGCACTGTCGGCAGACCTGGTACTTTTGGACGTATCCCTTCACATCCGTGTACATTTCCGGCCAGTAATAGGACTGGGCGACGCAGGCGAAGGTCTTCTCGCGTCCCAAGTGTCCTGCCGTCTCTAGGTCATGATTTTCGAACAACACCGCTTTGCGTTCTTTCGGGGGCACGACGAGTTTCCATTCGTCGCCATATCCGTCTCCTCCTTGGTGATCGCAGTTCGGCTTTCGGTGATACATCACCCGACCGACGACCTTCCAATTCGGGTATCTCTCTGGTTGGCTCCCGACGCGTCGGAATTGATCCGTGTATCAGGCGCTGTCTCTTGACTTCGGTTGGTCCATTGCGCCAACCTCTGCCTTCGTGGGCTCAAAAGCGCGTGATAAGGCGTCGGGCAACACATTGTCTGCCCCCTTTTGGTATTCAATCTCGAAAGTATGGCCTTGAAGTTGCAAGGCCCATCGGGCGAGACGTCCAATCGGGTTTTTCAGGTTGTATAACCATTTCAGGCTATTGTGGTCAGTTACCACCCTGAACGGGGTGGTAACTGCACGACCGCCAAGCACTCGCGCTCCGTAGCTGAGTAGTTTTGCTCAGCCGGATTAAGGACTCTGCTAGCGTACTCTATGATTCGATCGCCGTCTTCTGCTTTTTGTATCAGGACGGCCCCGATTCCGGTAGCGCTGGCATCTGTCTCCATCACGTACTGCCCATCGGGTTCCGGTAATCCCAGGCATGGTGCGGACATCATGAGTGCCTTAATTTTGGCGAAGGCTTGTTCCTGTTCCTCTCCCCACACATATTCGCTGTTTTTTCCTATTAACCTCGTTAGCGGTTGAGCGTGTGTGGCGAAGTCGGTCAAGAATCTGCGGTACCACGAATCAACCTCCAGGAAGGTGCGCAGCTGTCGCACGTTTCCTGGTCGTGGGTACTCCATGATAGAGCGCACTTTTTCAGGGTCTGGCCTGATCCCCTCGCGGTTGATCAACAGGCCCAGGTATTTGGCTTCAGACTTGCAGAAGACGCTTTTC